CACCTCTCACCCCTCACCCCTGTTTTGGACCTGATTCTTCAGAGCGCTCAACAGGACAGGGGAGGGGGTAAAATCAAGTTGGTCTCACTCAAAAAGTGGGAGGGACCATAGTGATAAGGGAGCCCTTGCCCCTTGCCTAGGTCAGTCACTGATAATGATAAGTTACTGGCCTGTTACTAACCAATTCAAGTAGGCTAAATTATGGTTCTTTTTGTCTTTTCCAGTCCCCTATAGAACCTCTGTTACCCCAGTTACTTAATCAGACGTCCTCTCTTAACAAGTCTGCCCAATCAGCTGGCAGTTTTTCAGTGGAAGATGGACAACTTGCTCTCCCAAAGACGTTTGTCACTCGCAAAGGTGCAATTATACTTTTCACCCCAAGCGAGGATCTTTGTCACCATGGAAGTGGAGAGACCCACATTAACAAGGAAAACGTTTATGAGGCAGGCCTCAAGCTAAGAACATTGGGGAATTTGACCAACTCAGTGCTTGAGTTTGGAAAAGAGGTACGATTATTGTGCTTTTGTTCTGTGTATTCTGTGTTACTTAATTAATGTAAAGGAACTGTCCAAAGCACAGTGGAATTCCAATTTTTCAAGCCTTCAATTTTTCAAATCTCCCAATATGGAACCAAAAGTCATTTCACTCTCTTCAGTTGAACACTGTAATTTCACCCCCAATTTCCCACACTACTGGATTTTTCAAACCAATTTACTTTTCACTCAGAGGTTTGAGAAATCAGGATTCCACTGTATACAATGTTCGCTATTTATTGAATATATCAACTTGATCAAGTGGCCAGGAAATATGAACTACTCAGTGTTTAGAGGGAAGAATAACTTTAACCTGATATGATATATTCAATGCCATTAGCCCAATACTAATGACTTTAGAGGAAAAGCTTGTACAGCAAGACCTCAGCTTATTAAAACAACTGTTTTGGAAGATGTCAGGGCTGTCATTATTAAGGGCCAAAACCTTTAGCACCTGCCATGGCTGAGTATGTTTGATGGGCCCTTGATTGGTCTTGATTTTACGGGTGAAATTGCCTGTAGTTGATGCAATTCACTCAAAAGGTAACATGTTTGTTACTGGTGTGAAGCTACAGGTGACTTGATACTTAATGAGAGCCTTGACTGTGTTTGTTAAATGACAAAATTAAAATTAATTACTGTTGTTTATATTGCTTTATGTAGGATGAGGAAACCTGGGAAGGAACAAACTATCCAAATGAAACATCAGGGAGAGAAAACCCTCAAAAGAGGGACAAGACATTTTTGAGATTTCTTCATTACCTTGACTCAGAAAACCTGACAGCTGATAAACATGTTCAGCCAGGAGCTGATCCTGATTACTACCTTGAGGAGCTTAAAAAATCTAGGTGAGAGTTTTAGTTAAAGGCATCTAAGAATCTGAAGCACAGTGCCACTCTCCTCTGGATTGAATGGTCCAGGTTCAAACCCTAGCCAGGGACATTGTGTTGTGTTCTTGGGCAAGACACTTTTTCTCACAGAGCCTCTCTTCACCCAGGTGTATAAATGGGTACCAGTGAAGTTAATGCTTGGGGGTAACCCTGCGATGGACTAGCATCCCATCCAGGGGGTAGAGAAACTGGAGATACATGCCGGCCTGATGGGCCACTTGACTTGTACATGTATGTAGATTTTATCCTTACCATTTAAGAATCACAGTAATATGAAAATTTGGAATAACACTGTTGAACAAAAGCCAGTCCCTGGTGATTAAGAGTAAAATGTATGCTACCAAGAGAGGATGAAGGGTGAGAGAGTTTGTCATACTCACTCAAGTTATTTTTAGATCACTCTTGCTCTTGCAAAATCCAATACAATGTACCCTGAAGCTTCAAAGAAATCCTTTGATCTGAAAATAATGTTTTAATATCAGTCATTTTCTTTCCAGTGGTCATAATTCCCACAGGAGGTTCAGATCACAGACTCCGTTTTCCACTAAAACTTCTCATTCCACCAACACTGCATCCCATTACTCCCAATTCCTGGAAGATGATGAGGAAATAACTGGCATCATACAAGATTACATAAAGTATGGCAGATCAGGAAGGAGCAAAAATAACGAACATCTTGAGCACAGAGTCATGTCATCAGATCACATGCCAGATATTGGTGTTGAAGGGTAAGTACACCAAACAGAATCCTGTTCTTCATTGAAAACCTGGGGAGTCATGGAAATCAAGAATTTCATTTTCCAGGCCTGGAAAGTCGTGGAATTTAAAAGTTGGTCATGCAAGTCATGGAAAATAATAGTTAAGTCTGGTATGTTCATCACTGCACAGAATAAAATAAAGGCGAGCTACCGAGCAATTAGCCTCCCACACCGATGCTCTCAGGGCAGTTTGAACTAAACACATTTTGGCAAACGCCAGAGATAATTTACAAAAAATACAAATTTGACTCCTTTGACAAGGAGAGTTTTGAGAATTTTCGAAAGTGGAAAAAAGGTCGTGGAAAGCAAGAAAAAGTCATGGAAAAGGTCATGGAAAGTCATGGAATTGAAGAGTTTTAAAGAGTACGAACCCTGTCTTTGCAGGGATGGATCCAGAAAATTCAGATAGGGGGACCAAAGAAACTGCGGCAGAGTGCAGACCACGTACCCCCAAAACTGAATGCAATATCCGCTCTAAAGATGGTTGGTCTTTTTTTTTGACAACACAAGAACAAAGAGGGGCTGTGGTCCCCCGCCCCCCGCCTCCCTCCCCTAAATCCACCCCTGAGCAGGGATGTTCCCGACAGAGGTTAGCAGTTCCAATTAATCTTAAAAATCCTGTGGTGGGTCACGGTCCATTTTTTTTCCTTTTTTTCCTGTCGTTTTGGACAGAGAGCAAATATGGGCTAATGATCAAATTCTTTGGGAAGTGCTCTTTTGAAAGCATACTGTTGTGTTTAAGACTAGGGTAGACTCTGTTTTTTACATTGTCTTTGAAATTAGGTAACCATTTGTTAATTTTCTGTTATTCAATTTCAAAGTATTCATTGTCTTTATCTTCCCTTCCTTTCCCAATTCAATTTGCAACACAAAGGGAGAAAGAAGACAAAGTAAAAACAAGCTAGTAATCTTAATTTAACGTTCAAAGACAAATGATAGAGCCGTTGAGAAAAGTTTTAAACCTCACTTATTTCCACTTAGCTGAGTCTTACTTACATTCAGGACTGATTACCGAATCTCTCTTGGCTTTCTTTTTCTTTCTGTCCACAGGTGTGAAACTTTAGACGAGTTCTCTTCGTTTTCATCACCTAGAACACCAAGAATGCAACCCGGTCACACCAACTTGTTTTCATCATCTATTCCATTCATGTCGAATCTCAGATATGGATCTACTTTCTACGAGGTTGCCGACTCAAGACCTAAAACAGCACCCATCCCACCCACCCTGGAGTCACCAAGAGCTAATCCCAGGATTACCAGTGCCAAACCAGCCCCACTCCCTAGAGGTCAGTCCAAAAGTTCCCCGTATCCCCTGTACGTGTCTTTTCTGATAACGTTTGCTCATACTGCAGTACCCTTGTAATTAATTCTGAGTAGATTCGTCCATTGATGTGTTGAGCTTTGATGTTTAAGATCGGTTACGACAAGTAGAACATTTTCGTTCGGAGTAACATTTAAAATATTTAAAAAACGACTCTTGTCCCAAAGCTAAAACCAAGAAATAAAGGGGGCAGTGCCAAACGCGAGAAACAGGCGCATGGCGTTTAGATCAATGAGCGTTTTGCTCCTGATTGGCTAAAGAATTGCGCGAAAAACGATTCGGAAACAGCCCACGCAATCGAAAAACTTCTTTGTGGTTTCCTGTGTTTTTTGTTTTTTATTGTATTTTTTGGGAAAATGAAAAAAGTCTGTAAGCCATGCTGATTGTACTGTTTTTTTAATCGATCTAAATATTAGTAATAATGATGCAAATCAGGCCAACTATAGACCAGTTTTCATTGCTAATCGTAACAAATTTTGCGCATTCCCCCGGCGTTAGGTCTTTCTCTGTTGGAGGGATCCAGCGAGGTCCACGGTTTCAGCTGAAATGGAACCTGTCATTTATAATTACGGATCACATTTAAATTCCTTTTGAATGACGTTTTCATTTCTTTGTAGCGCTTGGTTCTACACCAAATCATCTTCACGAGATCATCAATGCTGACGTAGGCTTCGGTCGATATCAGCGGCGAGGTCCCAGTCCCCTTGTGAGACTCAGTCGCAGTCCTTCACCGTCTTTCCATTTGGGATCATCTAGAGGAGCAACGCCTGACTGCTCCAAGGGTCAACGTCTGGCCAGCCCAGATGGCAAGGTACTTGAAAATATAAAACCTTCATTCTGATCGCTGCTGTTCTTTTCCGTGAGGTACTTTAGAAGTAGAAAAGTTAGGGTTGAAAAGTTCAAATGAAAAAAAAAAAGATAAAGATGACAGCTTTATGTTAGGTATTACACTGTCTCTCACCTCGCTTTTGGCGTTTCTGGTGTATTCTGAAAAAAGAGAATATGTGCTCAGACTTCAAACAGGAGAGATTCTTGCAGTGTCGCTAGTTTTCTGTTCAGTTTGAATATCGTTTGCCTTTTTTGCACAGAGGTGCAAAACATTCTTACCGAGTCAGGCACTTTACCTAAAGTTGTCTGGTTTTTATATTAGAGTGAGGAATGGAACCGAACGGCAAACACCATTGAAGAAGAAGATGAAGCTGCTTTGCCAGGCGACCAAACGGGGTCTGGAAATAATTCGCGTAGGCCATCAAGCGCTGGCTCTCTTCGCAGTGGTAGAGAGGAGAAAGTGGACGTACGGAGGAGAGTTTCGAGCGCTGGTAGGTTTGTTTCCCCGACTGTTTATTTTACTTTAGCAGATATTATGACTAGTAATATCGTTGGCGACTTTTGTGCTGGATTTAAATGAAGTAGTTAAATGAAGTTCTTCCTCTTTTCCTCCAGGGACAGCCAATAGAAGGACTCGTTCGAGTCTCCACTCCAGCCTTACTGGAAGCCTGTCGAGTGTATCACATTACAACAGGGGACTCTCCGCGATGTCTCTTGATCATGACTTCCTCGCTCGTTCCCCAGAGTTCGATGAAATGGAACGCGAGGAGAATTCTCCGACTTGGCCTGAAGTCAGAGATGAATTGTTTGTGTTACATGATGACCCTGCTGATGATACCAAGCAACAGGCAACGTGGCAAGTTTATGGAGATATTGCTGGCTCACGAACCGCATCACCATCACGTGATACTGCCGCGAAAAGCCCTTCTCCATCTCCGAGAAGTCCCTCGGTCGCTTCTCGGGTAGCTACGCCTTCAACTCGCTCGGCTTCGGTTCAGTCTCGTCGAGAGAAAGTTGCTAGATCTCGAGGTTCGTCGGCTGTGTCTTCTGCTACAAGCGAGCAATGGAAAGAAGCGGTAATAGCAGCTGGTGATGCTGAAGAGAGAAAATCGTCCTCTTCCTCTCGTGACAGAATTATTACAAGCCGCTCTCCAAGCCGTCAGAATGACGGACAAGACGAAGAAATTCAAGTTGAAGGTGACACAAGGACTTCGAGTGCAAAGTCGACCCAGGAAGGCACAGAAACAAAAGCCACTCTTGGAAGTGAGGCTGACTTGGCCCAAGTTTCCGAGGCGGTAGTTCGGTCACAGTCGGTGGTCGAAGGAGTGTTTGAAGAAATGCTTGCCGAAGAGGAAACAGCTGAGCTGGAGTGGCCTGGAGTGGCGGCGCACGAGGAAGATGCTAAGCCAGAGGAAATGAATAGAAGTGATGACGAAGATAGCATCTCCCAAGGTAACGCGTGTTCAAAGCTAGTGCTGTCATTAATTCCTGTTGAACGCTCTGCTGTTGAACATTTTCCCCAAATATGGGAACCTCAGATATGTTCAACAAGACACTTTTAAACCCAGTCTACGTTGAGCAAAACCGCTATACTGATTTCTTTGTTTCNGCCCTCCACGATAAGTAAGTAAACCTCTGAGCCCAAATCACATGAGTGTCAAGTCACACTCTCGGATCATGATATATTCAGTGTTATAGAAAGGTTTCGATCGACCCAAACCTGATTGATTCAAACAAGATGCGTGGAGTGTTTATGTTCTGTATTGGTTCAAAGTCAAAATCTGTTCACTCTACCACAACAGCAGTTCCATTTTAAAACGATGTGTATCAGACGTTTGGTACAATATTCTGATAGAACATCTGTTATTCTTTGCTATCCAAGCCTATTTTACCCAGACCATAACATATGCGTCTTTCTTCTTTCTTGATAGAGCTTGCTATCTCTACCCCTGAAGGTCTCCCCGAGGGATCCCCTGGGGAGGAATTAATGCCTATACCGTCCGTGAACGTACAGGAGAGCTCAGAGCCAGATTCCATTCAGCCAGGTACTCAAGTTGCTGTTTATATAATGAGATTTGAGATTTCATTCTTCTTCGTTACAATGGGACTCTCGAACGTGAAATCACATTTTTTCAAACGTGGAGCGAGAGGGGAACACAATGAGAAAAATGTTAACGTGAAAATCAGTGAAACAACGTACTG